GAAGCAAAGTTCTTAACCTGAGGTACTGTTTCTGGGTTAGCAGAGTCTGTAACCTGAAGCGTATGTAACCTGAAGCATCTGTAATCCAAGGTACCTCTGTAAGGGCATCATTGATGTGGCCACCACTTCTTCCTGGGGGAGGAAATTTCACAGGTAGGGCCTTCTCAGTAATTGCACCCCATTTCATCTCATGTTCCCACACAATGAGCAGCACTTGCCACTGGGACATTGAGCAGGGCCCCCTAAGCAGATCTAAGAGCTCAGGCTAGCTAGTACGAGGACAGCTGTTCTGCCAAATACCTAGGTCCCAAGTCATACAGGGCTTTATAAGTTAAGCTTAACATATTAAATCGGGCCTGGTAGCATATAGGCAGCCTGCCAGCCAACATCTACCCTAAACAGAATAGAGGTTAGATGGCATTACACTGAACTGACAGCCAAGAATCTAGCAACAGCATTCTGCACTAGCAGCAGTTTTTGGACCATATTCAAGGGTAGCTCTATGTCAAGGATATAACAGTAATCAGTAGCTGGTTTGGGTAATTATAGCATACAACCACTGTCTGAAGGCTTGACTATTGGAAAACCATGCCCACCTCTTTGCCAGGTTAATTACTTAGGTTCAGACTTTCTAATTCAGTGTTTCCCAACCTTTTTTGGGCAAAGGCACACTTGTTTCATGAAAAAAATCTCGAGGCACACCACCATTAGAAAATGTTAAAAAATTTAACTCTGTGCCTATATTGACTATATAAAAAGTACAGTGGTGCCTCGCAAGACGAAATTAATTCGTTCCGCAAGTCTCTTCGTCTTGCGAGTTTTTCGTCTTGCGATGCACGGTTTCCCATAGGAATGCATTGAAAATCAATTAATGCGTTCCTAGGGAAACCGCCTTCAGACCAGGTCCGGGGACAGTCTGTCCCCCGACCTCTTCTGAAGGCTGGGGGGGGGACAAGGGCTTTTCTTCCCACTGCCAGCATTCAGAAGGCTGTTCTGAAGGCTGGCGGTGGGAAGAAAAGCCCTTCTTCCCACCTCCCGCCCCGCAAGCTCCGGGGACAGGAGGGCTTTGCTGCCGACCGCCAGCATTTTAAAAGCCCCTGCTGTCCCGGGGCGATTTTAAAATGCTGGCGGGCGGGAGCGAAGTCTCCGCTGCCCCGAGGAGATTTTAAAATGCTGGGGGTCGGCAGCGAACGCTTCGCTCCCGCCCGCCAGCATTTTAAGATCGCCCGGGGCAGCGGAGAAGTCTCCGCTGTCCGGGAAGGCAGGCGGGGGGAGCAAAGACTTTTGCCCCCGCCTGCCTTCAGAAGAGGTCCAGGACCTCGTTCCGATGCCCGGCGGCGGGGTGCGAGGTTCCCGCCCCACCGCCCGGCATCGGGGCATCGTTCCGATGCCCGGCGGCGGGGTGCGAGGTTCCTGCCCCACCGCCCGGCATCGGGGCATCGTTCCGATGCCCAGCGGCGGGGTGCGAGGTTCCCGCCCCACCGCCCGGCATCGGGGCATCGTTCCGATGCCCGGCGGCGGGGTGCGAGGTTCCCGCCCCACCGCCCGGCATCGGGGCATCGTTCCAATGCCCGGTGGCGGGGTGCGAGGTTCCCGCCCCACCGCCCCGCTTCGGAGCAGCGCTCCGAAGCGGGGCGGCTGGGGCAGGTGTTCCCGCCCCGCTTCGGAGGAGCGTTCCGAAGCGGGGCGGCTGGGGCAGGTGTTCCCGCCCCCCCGCCCCGCTTCGGAGCACCGGGAGAAGCGATCTCCCCGCAGCCCCTTGCTTCAAAAGAGGTCCGGGGGCAGCGGGGAAGAAGCGCTGCGCTTCCCGCTGCCCCGGACCTCTTTTGAAGCAAGGGGCCGCGCCCGCAAACCCTTGCTTCAAAAGAGGTCCGGGGGCAGCGCGAAGCGCTTCCCGCTGTCCCCGGACCTCTTTTGAAGCAAGGGGCGGTGGGGAGAAGCGATCTCGGGCGCCGCGGCGCGCAGGCGCACTGCTCGCTCCTCTTTCCGCGCAGGCGCCTTCTCTCGCTCTTTCGCCTCCTTTTCTTTCTCTCTCGATGGTCCGCCTACAAAGGAGCGAGGGAGGCGCCCGCCATGTTTGGATTTGCATCCAGCAGGAGATGCCGCCGCCGCCCCGCCTCTCCCGCCTCCCTCCCACGGCACACCAGGCAAGGTCTCACGGCACAGTAGTGTGCCGCGGAACACCGGTTGGGAAACACTGTTCTAATTTGTGCTCTATGGATGTATGTTTGTAATACCATGTTTACTGATGGGTCAGTTGGCAAAGAAGCTTTCCCATGTGCTGTTCAACATAAAATAAACTTGGTTGGATTGCAAAGTGCTATTAGGAGGAATGTGGCACTTTATGGAATATGATATTGGTCCCAAAAATCTCCTTCCATCTCTTTAACCATTTAGAGATTACCCTGTAACCTCACAGGCTGATTTCTCTTACCCAGTTATTGCAGCTTCAAGGCAAAATGGAAATTTGGCTCCTAACATGAGAAAGTCACACTTGTTATGTCTCTATTCTTGCTACTCTTGTGACCTTAAACTATTTGATTGATTGATTGATTGATTGATTGACTGCCCATAAGCCAAGAATCAAAGGGCGGTTTACAATATATACAGTAAACACAAAAATACATACCATAGTAACAAACAAACAAAATACCACGCCCACCCACCCACAGTTTAAAAGGCCATAGATTGTTTAAATTAGCCAAAGGCCTGGGTGAAGAGAAATGTTTTCCCCTGGCAGCTAAAGATATGTAATGCAGGTGCCAGGTGAGTCTCCCTGAGGAGAGCATTCCACAAATGGGAAGCCACTTCAGAAAAGTCCCGTTCTCATGTTGCTGCCCTCCAGACCTCTTACAGAAGAGGCACAGGGAGAAGAGCTTCAGATGACGATTGCAAGGTCCAGATCAGTTCATATGGGGAGAGGTGGTCCTTGAGGTATTGCAGCCATGAGCCATTTAAGGTTTTATAGGTTTAAACCAGCACTTTGAATTAGTCCTGGAAGCTAATCGGCAGTCCTGCAGTCATGCCAGGATCGGTGTGATATTGCAGTTGAGCATGGGTAAATTATATTTGCCACAGAGTTACACCATACTTATCCAGTCCAAAAAGATCCAGGCAGATGTATGTCTAGCAACCTCAAGAATATAGCCATTTGGTTTTCTAAGAAGTGATTCCCCCTCTCACCTTTCACAGTTATTACAAGAGGCAACTGGACTTTGTTGTTGACGACACAACAGTCATCTTTGTTGTTTAAACTTTAAAAAAAAACCAGAATTGGGAATATGGAAAGTATTTAAAAAAATCTCTTGTGAATGAAAGATCTCTCTATATATTACTAATTGCCTCTGCATTGAAATATGATCTTCAGGAGTATCTTCAGGAGCAAAGCTCTGGCAGGCAATACTGAGTTTGATGGACCAGTGGCCCGAAACTGAAAGCAAAAGGTTCCAGTCTCCTCACACCAGAGGGAGCAGAGAGTACCCAAACCCAAAGTTCACTGCTGTGTGTTCTCATTATGGTAAAATATGATTTTGCACGACACCTGAACATAGCCAATAACTTGAATCCAAACATGATTCCTGTGCCATTGCAAACTTAAGCGGGTGTTGGCTAGATTATATTTGTGTTAAGCTCCCATTACCAGTCTGTTTTTTACTGTAATGTTTTGTTTGAAGAGTCAGTAGCTTACGTAAATTTGACTTGAGTTTCTGAATCATGATACTGGGATTAAAGGCTGTTGAACTTGTGGCCTGGCATTTTTGGAAAAGAGAGTGGAAATGCCAGTTTAGAGATTGTTCAATTTATTCCATACTTACCTTTTAAACTATCTGGAGTACAGAAAGTGATAATTAAATTAGCTGCTTTAGTTGAAGTTGGTGGTAAAATTAGGGCCGCAAATTATGTTTTTAAGTATGAATCTAGTGCCAAGCTTAAAGGTTTACTGTAAAGTTGTGCTCTACATAAATCATGCACTGGGTATGCATTTGGTACGCTATCCTATGCAAAGGTAAACTTAAATTCTTGGCTCATCAAACTCAGCATTGCCTGCCAGCCAGGAGCATAGGAAAGGGGGTGCGTGGGGTGCCCCGGGTGTCATCCTGAAGGGGGGTGACATTTGGTGCCCCCCTGCGCCGAGATCGGCCCCCGGGGAGGATCGCGCAGCCGCACCGATCAGCCCTGTGGGCAGATCGCCCTGCCCCTTGAGCAGAGTGCCCCGCCCACAGGTGCATGGCATGTGTGCCGCTCCAGGTGCCGGAGTACCCAGCTCCGCCACTGCTGCCAGCAGTTCTCCAGAGTTTCAGTCTTTTCCAGCCCTTGCTGGAGCTGCCAGGGACCTTTCACATGGAAAGCATATATCCTTCCACTGAGCTGTGGTACAAAGCACATCAGGACTCACAGTTTTTCTTCTACTGTGTAGTATTTATTTGTGCATATGCTGATATATTTTGCTTGCATCTCCTTTCATTGCTATGGCCTTTGGCTCACTTGCAAACTGCCACAATTCCCCTGAGCCCATGAAGAGGCTTCTGCCTTCTTGCTAAAGACTTGATTTCAGGACAGGGCTAAGTGAGTGCGCTCTCTCTCTCTCTCTCTCTCTCTCTCTCTGGAAACCACATTCTTCCTGAGAGCTGTTTTCCACCAGGTAGAGGTCGGCAAGGGTCTGCCAGCTTGTGGAACTGTCCGGCAGAAACCAAGAATGTTCAGAGAGTGACCTTCATTTCAACTTGCCAGACACTATCTCATGCCTCTAGCTTTTTCACTTTGGGCCGTGGTCTTGTCATTTATCATCTACTTAACCAGGGAAAGCCTGCCCTTGGGAGGCCTCCAGGGAAAACTTGAGTGCTTCAAGAATTAGTACTGGTGCTTCAGGTGATAGCATCCTTTTTCCTGGCATCTGCATGCTTCCTCTTTGCTTGCATTAGTGCTTGGAGGTATTATGATGACATGCCCCAGAAGGGAAGTAGCTGCGAAGAGAACCTCCCTCTTAGTGGTCACTTTTGTTCCTATGTTTGGCATTAACCGTGGAACCTTAGCTAAATAGACATGTAGCTATCTGGCCATGAAAATTGCTCAGGGGCTCTGGTTTATTTACAAAAGAAAAAGGGGGGAAAGCCTGTTAAAGTTGCCATTTTTACTGTGCTCCACATGGAGTGTGTAGCATTTTGCTGCTGGATCAGTCATGTCCTGGGCTGCTATGAGATGCTGACTGCTTTTGTTCTCTGTTTAACCACAGCTGGCAAGGTGGCAGAGGAAGGGCATGTGGGATAATCACCATTGTGTTTGTTGCTCTCCCCAATAAAGGAAGGTCTTGTCTACAGTGCAGCTAGCATAAATATGCAAGGTATCGGTCTGGGGTGGGCATGCAGAGCCTTTGTGGGTGGCTTTCTGCCCTCTTCCATTGCTGCTAAATTAGAGGAGAGCCCTATGCAGTGACCTATCCTGTGCAAAAACGGTTCTTATCGTACTTGAGCGGAGTGCTGAGGAACAGGACTTTAATTCATTCCAAACCTTTTATCCGAGTTTTGGAGGGCATTGTTCATGAGAAGCAACCTAGTGAAATTCGAAGTGCCTGAGCCCTTTGCAGGTATGGCCAAGGAACAAAGCAGTCTCTGTGCAAAAACCCACAAAGCAATGGAAGCAAGAAGGAGAAAGTGATGTTCTTTCAGTTCTGCCAGCTCTTCAGAGCAAAAGAGGCAACCTCAAGAATATTCCTCAGCTGGAAGTGAACTAAAGAATGTTTAATGTGCCTATAGGACTTTGGTCAATTTATCATGCTTAAAACAACAACAGTAGGGTTCTTTACAACAACCTTATCAAGCAGGTCACAGGATTCTTATTTCTCAGTTCAAGAATTGAGATTAAAAAAATACTGACTTGCCCAGTACCACAAAAAAATCCATGGCAGAGGTGGGGCTTTGTTCTGTGTCTGCCCTCTTCACTAGCCACTGGACCTCCACAAGTGTGGCTAAGACCCCCAGATTTCTAGAAGATTTGAAAAGATCAAGGCAAAATTGCGTCTCCTTCCTGCACATCAAGCTTTGCTATGGAAAGGGCCCTAGAGGAAAGAGAGAACAAGAAACAGTAATTTTGTTTTCAGTGCAAGTGAAAAGGAAAGTGGAAGAAATCAATGTGAACCTGAGAGCAAAGGTCACAAGCATGACCAAAAGACACAAAACTGCTTTCTATGTACCTGTTAGGATGGGAACAGCTGTTCTTTCAGAGAGGGAGCTATTCTCGTTGAGGAGCCATTGAATAGCCATGCAGCTGCAGGAGAGAGGGAATAATTTATATTAACCATGCCAGGAAACCTTCTTGGGGAGTGAAGAGTGTTGGGAAGACAAGTGGCCAATTATGCTTCAAGAGCTAAGAAATATGTGCAAGATTTCCTTTGGGATTGGGGCAGTGGGGCAGGAGGTGATTAGGTAATGCCTTGCTCCCATTGCAAAGGACTGCATGTGAGCTTTAATCCACAGGGTAGAGAGAAGCATTTAGAGGGGCAAAATGAACCAGGGTTCAGGACTACAACACAATAAGTGGTGCTGATGAAAGAGGCATTTGTGGCGGATGAGGTAAATGTGTATCCCTGGTGGCAATTATAGGGGCAGAAGTGAGACACCAGTGTGTCCAATTAAAGAGTTAACTCTGCTGTAGGAGCCACCTGCCCTTTATGTCCTCATGGAACAGGAAACACAAATGAGCTTGTTCTAATTATCCCTCTGGCAAACATACACCAGCAAAGAGACAAGAGTGTCTGTCATCTCTGGCCTAACCCAGACTTGTTTCCATGTGGGAGGGAGGGTGTGGGAGGGCTTGTGCCTCTACCATTTGTCTTGAGCTCACGTAAAACGCTTTTTACTTGCCCCTGTGTTTGCAAACCCAGGAGCTGGGAAAGCAGGTGAATGAAAAGGCAAGGAGACAATGCCAAGGAGACATTGCATGTCTGAAACTAATCCTTGGGTTGTGTGTGTGAGAGAGATCCCTGCTACTCTCTGCATGGCCTTATGCTGGATGGTACTATGTATGGCGTGATGCCCTTGTCACTTAAAACTCTCCTCTTGTCCCAAGAGGTCTCTCTAGTGCTTTTTCTGGAAATCCAAGAGGCTTAGTGACCTGTATTTCTGCCTCAAAATTGAGTTGTGGACATGTCATCTAAAGCCCTAAGCTATTCTTTCAGGTGCATAGAGATAAAAGAAACAGGAAGATTCTCTGTTGGAAACTCCCACAAAAACTGTCAGGGGAAAAATGTATTTGTAAATATAAAATAAATATATACTGTATTTTTCGCTCCATAAGACGCACCTAGTTTTTAGAGGAGGAAAGGGGGAAAGCCCTGTTTTTTGGGGGGATCAGTTCACAGCTGTGCAGCTTCTTTTGCAAAGGGGAAAAGCCCCTTTTTTGAGGATCAGCTCAAAGTTGTTGAGCTTACTTTGCAAAGGGAAAAAATCCTGTTTTTACGGGGTTCAACTCACAGTTCTGAAGATTCTTTAGGAAAGGAAAGGGAGCCATTTCTACAGTTTCCAGACAGATAATCTAATCAACCAGTCACATGTCGCTGGGGAAACAAATAGCCTCCGTCTGCAGAACATTCAACATTGGAGGCCTGGGCAAGGGGGCGGGGCCAGAAAGGGAGCCAGCAATCAACCACACATTCATGCCATAAGACACACAGACATTTCCCCTTACTTTTTAGGAGGAAAAAAGTGCATTTTATGGAGCGAAAAATACAGTAATAATTATATCACAGTCCAAATGTTCCAAACACTTGACTGACATAAGTCTTAGCCAACATGGTGTCCTCCAGCTGTCTTTGGACAGCCCTAACCAGCAGGGCCATGCTGGCTGGGGCTGATGGGAATTTTAGTCCAAAACATCTGGAGAGCACCAGGTTGGGAAAGACTGACTTACATTATCTCAGTAATCCCTTAAAACTGCCCTGCAAAGTAAGCCAGTAGTATAGTATTATCCCCAGACTGAAAAGTATGAGAGACCAGCAGATTGTGTAATGTCCCAGTCAATGAGTTTCTGGCTGAGCAGCAGAAATTTGAACATTGGATGCCACAACTCACACACTTTCCCGCCATGCAACTTGCTTGTTTGTGATGCATCATGAGCCCCATCCCTGAGCCACCACCCTTTTACCTAACTAGAATTGGTATTTCTATATTACATCTGTACCATCGTTGGGCTGTCACACAACCCGGTGTACAAAGTTCAGTAGACAATTATTGTGTCATTTTGCAAGAGGCTTAGTCCAAAAAATGGCACCTTGGCCCTTTATTTTAAATCAGATAAATAACATGAACAATGGTTTTAAAGGTCACCTTCCAAACTCTGGCTTTCTGAACCTTTGGTTGATTTGTAGTCATACTGCTACACTGTTTGAAACATATTTTTAATAAGTTATGATGATGATGATGATGATGAAGAAGAAGAAGAAGAAGAAGAAGAAGAAGAAGCAGCAGCAAGTGGTAGGTCCTCTGTGTGGGGAACACGGAGAAATGCTATTGGGTGACAGAGAAAAGGTAGAACTACTCAACACCTACTTTGCCTCTGTCTTCACCCAAAAGGAAAGTGATGCCCAACCTGGTGATAACAGAGTAAATGATATAAGGAGGGAACTGCAGCCCAAGGTAGGAAAAGAGGTAGTGAGGGAACACCCAGCTACTTTAAATGAATTCAGATTTCTAGGGCTTAATGAGCTGCATCCAAGGGTACTAAAGGAACCTGCGGATCAGGGACGCGGACTTATAAAAAATATTGGGGGGGCCCGGGAAAGCTCATGAATAATAAATAAGCTCATGAATATGCAAATAAAGTGGCGCCGCCTCCTCGTGAGCGAATAGGGGAGAGCGTGCTGCGCCTATTAATCAGCTCCAAAGGAAATTGGGTGGAGCTTTTGCTCGGGAGGGAGGGCAGGAGGCATGCAGCCCGCCCCTCCCTGTGCATTTTGGGCTGGGGGAGGGGCGGCGATGGCGCTCTGCTGGAGGGGCGCCGGAGATTATTGGGGGGGCGGAGCCCCCCCAAACGAATTTTTGAGGGGGCTCGGGCCCCCTCAAGCCCCATGGAGTCGGCGCCTATGCTGCGGATACAATTTCAGAGCCTTTGTCTATTATCTTTGAGAATTCTTGGAGAACCGGTGAGGTCCCTACAGACTGGAGGTGGGCAAATGTTGCCATCTTCAAAAAGGGGGGGAAGGAAGACAGGTAACTACTGACCGGTGAGATTGACACTGATACCAGGGAAGGTCCTAGAAGAGATAATTCAACAGTTGGTCTGTGAGCATTTAGAAAAGGAAGCTGTGATTCCTAAGACCCAGCATGGGTTTCTCAAAAATAAGTCATGCCAGACCAATCTGATTTCTTTTTTTGATGGAATTACAAACTTGGTGGATCAAGGAAATGCTGTGGACATAGTGTATCTTGATTTCAGTAAGGCTTTTGACAAAGTCCCCCATGATATTCTCGTGAGGAAGCTGGTAAAAGGTGGGTTGAACGAGGTAACTGTTAGGTGGATTTGTAGCTAGTTGACTGACCCAACCCAAAGAGTACTCATTAATGGTTCCTTGTCATCCTGGAAAAAAGTGACAAGTGGGGTGCCGTGGGGTTCTGTCCTGGGTCCGTTGTTGTTTAATGTCTTTAGAAATGACTTAGATGAAGGAATTGAGGGGATGCTGATCAAATTTGCAGATGACACCAAACTGGAAGGGGTAGCTAATGCCACAGAAGACAGAATCAGAATTCAAAATGACCATAACAGATTGGAGAACTGGGCGCAAGCTAACAAAATGAATCTCAATAGGGACAAATGTAAGGTGCTGCACTTAGACAGGAAGAACCAGATGCACAAATATAGGATGGGGGATACCTGGCTTACTAGCAGTACATGTGAAAAAGATCTAGGGGTCTTGGTGGACCACAAGCTTAACATGAGTCAACAGTGTGATGCAGCAGCAAAAAAAAAAGCTAATGCTATTGTAGACTGCATCAACAGAAGTATAGTGTCCAGATCAAGGGAAGTAATAGTACCACTCTATTCTGCCATGGTCAGACCACACCTGGAATATTGTGTCCAATTTTGGGCACCACAGTTTAAGAAGGATGTTGACAAGCTGGAATGTGTGCAGAAGAGGGCAACCAAGATGATCAAGGGTCTGGAAACTACCGGTAAGCCTTATGAGGAGCACTTGAAGGAACTGGGTATGTTTAGCCTGGAAAAGAGGAGACCGAGAGGAGATATATCTTCAGATATCTTAAGGGCTGTCACATGGAGGAGAGAACATGCTTGTTTTCTCCTCCTCTGGAGGGTAGGACTTGAACCAATGACTTCAAGTTGCAAGAAAGGAGATTCTGACTAAACATTCAGAAAAACTTTCTGACAATAAGAGCTGTTCGGCAGTGGAATAGACTCCCTTGGGAGGTTGTGGACTCTCCTTCCTTGGAGGTTTTTAAACAGAGGTTGGAGGGCCATCTGTCATGGATGCTTTAGCTGAGATTCATGCATTGCAGGGGGTTGGACTAGATGACCCTTGGGGACCCTTCCAACTCTAAGATTCTTTGATTCTATGACCTTGTACTGATTCTACTGAGTTTCCTTAGAGAGACTGTTGCACCAAAAGATCTGCTTTAAAACAGAAACAAACAGCCATAACAGATATTGAGTCAGTGACTTCAATGACCTATGCACGTAATGAGATTGCAAAAGAAGTTGTTGGAATTGAGGTTGAAATAGTGTACTTGCTAGTGTCTATTAAAAGTGGTTTTAAAATGCTTATTGCATACTCACATCAACCGTGAGAGAACTTGCCCAAGGCCACCCCGTGAGCTAGGTTCCCACATGTCCCCATTTCCACATTTTCAGGAAACACCTATGAACAGGAGCAACACGTGTTGAGTCTTCAGCTCAGAGCCATGGTGCACCACAAGATAAATTACATTTGTACGTGGTCGATTGAATAACTAGGCAAGAGACCAAAGCTTAGAATTAAAGAATTTACAGTTTTATTACAGGAGAGCAACATGTAAGTAGTTATGGAAATAAAAGGCTAATTAATATTTACACTGTTTTGCAGCAATGCATATCTGCAGGAGAGCGAGGAACAGAAGTGTAAATATTATTTATTTTGAGAAGGAAGGAGTGGGAAGAAACCTTTCTTCAGGGGTTTGCAGTGAATCACCCTCATTACCAGGACACTGGGGTTGTTTGAAGGGCCAGTTGTGAGGAATGATGGGAGCTGTTGTCCAGCAACACAGTTCCCCGCCCTTACCTATAGTGACATCGGTGAGTCCTAATATTACTGTCATGGGTGACAGAGCTTCCTCTGTCAGGGCTCTAAGCAGGTCAAATCAGGATGTTCCTTGATTAGGTTAGAGCTCAGGCACGAAAGCAGGGTTCTGTGTTTCCCAGAGTTCTGGTGCAACTATGCAAAGCTAGAAAGAGGCTGTCTTTGATCAATCTAAATCAAAGCCAGCAATTTCAAACAATAACCCTCTGGTCCTGAGTGCCTCAAGCCACTGCTTGCTATACCGTTTACAGGCAATATGGGGATTTTCAGAGTCGAGGTGCTTGGGCATACTTAAAATGACAGCAAGACTGAGTGGCTCTGTAACACATGCAACCCATTTCTCCTGCAACCAGATGAAATATAATAACTCTAAGATACAGGAAGTGAGAGGAAAGCAGTTAACTTCTGACATATATTCCAAAATTCCTACAAGTGCAAATGTTGCTATAATACACTGTAGTAAATGATTCCTCAATACTTTTCTTGGAATAAGTATTACTGAAGTTTTGGATTGTGCACATGCAGTGTTCCTAAGGCAATAGAAACCATTATAGTAATACACAGCATTGCTCCATTTCTTACAGTACCCCATTAAGGTCCGACCCCATCCCATACTTCTATGGGCATGTAGCCCATTGCATTGCTGTACTGTAGGCAAAGACCCAGTTCTGTGAGAGCCAGTGTGGTGCAGTGGTTAAGAGCAGTGGACTCGTAATCTGGTGAACTGGGTTCGATTCCCCGCTCCTCCACATGCAGCTGCTGGGTGACCTTGGGCTAGTCACACTTCTCTGAAGTCTCTCAGCCTCACTCACCTCACAGAGTGTTTGTTATCGGGGAGGAAGGGAAAGGAGATTGTTAGCCACTTTGAGTCTCCTTAGTGATAAAGCGGGGTATCAAATCCAAACTCCTCCTCCCCTTCTTCTTCTTCAAGCCCATTCATTCTTAGATTCAATTTGAATTTGGGGGGATATGTGAAATACAGAGTACAGAATTCAACGATGTGCTGTAATCGGGCTTTTTTCAGCCAAAACTCACCAAAACTCAATTCCAGCACCTCTCAGGTGGGCACCACTGCCATTCTAAGAGAACAAGGGAGGTGTTCATGGTGAGTTCTGGCACCTCTTTCCCTATAAAAATAGCCCTGGCTATAATGACTATTCCACCGGCACAAGCAGTTTTGATTGCCAGACAGAATGATCTCCTGTGTCCTCCCCCCCCCCACATGCTGTTTCT